TGTTTATCCGATCAGTCTCAAAAATTGCCCTGCACATCTAAGGACCAAGGGGAACCTACATATAAAACTTGAGAAAGATCCCTCTGGTACTTCTCGGGATATAGCGATAAAAAACTTTCACTATCAAAATCCAAGATGGCTGCCTGTTGGCCATGTTGTTTATCCGTTCAGTCTCAAAAGTTGCACTGCACAACAAGGGAACAAGGGAAATCTACATATAAAATTTGAGAAAGATCCCTCTGGTACTTCTTGAGAAATAGCGATAACAAACCTTAACTGTAAAAATCCAAGATGGCTGCCTGTCGGCCATGTTGTTTATCCGATCAGTCTCAAAAGTTGCCCTGCACAACAAGGGAACAAGGGGAACCTACATATAAAATTTGAGAAAGATCCCTCCCGTACTTCTCGGGAAATGGTGATAAAAAACTTTCACTATCAAAATCCAAAATGGCTGCCTGTCAGCCATGTTGTTTATCCAATCAGTCTCAAAAGTTGCCCTGCACAACAAGGGACTAAGGGGAACCTACATATAAAATTTGAAAAAGATCCCTCTGGTACTTCTCGGGAAATAGCGATAAAAAACTTTCTCTTACAAAATCCAAGATGGCTGCCTGTCGGCCATGTTGTTTATCCGATCAGTCTCAAGATCTCTCTGGTACTTCTTGAGAAATAGCGAAAAAAGAATTGTTTAAGGACGGACGACAGATGGATGGACGACGGACCACGGACACAGGGTGATTTGGAACTTAATAAACTTAATAAATCACTTTTTTTGGCGTGGATGTTAGTGTGTCAGGGTCTTAATGTGGGAGAAATCCGAAGTACCCGGAGAAAACCAACGTGGTCGGGCAGGTGAACCCAAACATATTCACATCTGATTGGGGAATCAAACCTGGCCACTCTGGTGAAAGACGAGTGCATTTTCCACTGCGCCACCCGACAACTTTACATTATAAGTACATTTTAAGCTCTGAGCTCAATTCAAGCACTACTCATGGTCTGTTCAAATAATGTAACATTAGAATTTTAGATCTGGTCCCTGTATCGTAGAAATCTAAGAAGAATAACATTATTTACTTTTCTTAAGATTTAAAATCCTAATTTTCAAATTCAAGCAGAATTTAATTTCTCAACTCCCAAAAATTACAAATTTAGAAAAAATATTGGAGCAGTTAATCAATAAAAAAGGCCATTTTCTGGATCACATAAGTGTTTGTCAGATAAATCTTTGTCACATACACTCTCTTTGGGGTATACAGTCATTTTGTTTATTGAAAACAATGTACTGTACTAGTTTCATACTTTATTTTCAAAAATTTAAAATCATAATTCTAATTAACTTGAAGAATTGTACTGAAAATAGATTGTCCATTCTGATTTTCATGACAATCCCAATTATAGATATATAAGAGTTTTGCCCATCCAGTCCTAGTGTGAAATTCCATTTTCTGAAGAACAGGTATTGCCTGATCACCAGATGGATTATGTGCTCAAACCAACTTTCTTGTAACTCACTTAAATTTTGTCAAACGATCAAAAAGTCAAATGAAAACATTGAAAACAGTATTAGGCTTTAAGTCTCTTCAAACCTTTTTCCAAATGATTGACAAAATAAGATTTTATTATATGAAGTTGTAACTTGAACAAGAAATAAGACTTGAGCATGAAATCCATGCTTGAGCGTGAGAACGGTTTCAGATCGAATGTGTTATACCCTGACATGGCGCCCAGTAGATTGTTGTTGTATGGTTCCGTCGTGTTCTGGTCTATAATACCGTCCTCCCACACACCCAGTTTTAGATTTTCCTGTTCCGCCATCTTAAAAATCCGCTTCAGGAAGTACTCTTTCCATTTCTGCATATTGTGTACATCTGGCTGTAAAAGAAGGGGAGATAAATCTTGCAGTGAATCGGGGAAACAAAATCTAGGAACATGTACAGTAAAGAAAGCAGTATACATCTGGCTGTAAAAGAGAGGAGGTCAATCTTGCATTTAATCAGGCATCTTCATTTATCCTCAATTTTTTAATGTCTAATTTTTTTGCTTTCCAATAAGAATTATTTAATATATTTTCATTCATTTATCACCAAATCCTTATAAAACACAGAAATTTCTCTTGACAAATGGTAGCATTATAACAAGGGGTTACTGTACATAATGGTGACAGTATGACAAGGTGCTGCTGTACATAATTGTGACAGTATAACAAGGTTTTCCTGTACATAATGGTGACAGTTTAACAAGGTGTTACTGTATATAATGATGACAGTATAACAAGGTGTTACTGTACATAACGGTGACAGTATAACAAGGTGTTACTGTACATAATGGTGACAGTGTAACAAGGTGTTACTGTACATAATGGTGACAGTATAACAAGGTGTTACTGTACATAAGGGTGACAGTGTAACAAGGTGTTACTGTACATAACGGTGACAGTATAACAAGGTGTTACTGTACATAACGGTGACAGTATAACAAGGTGT